AGAGGAACATGAAGCCCATTGGTGCGGATGGCTGGGGCCGCCCAGTGAACTAGTCTCAGCAGTGGCTCCGCTGGACCAGCCTGGTGTCTGTATCAGTCCCTACTCTACACTTGGTTTGCATATCCCCTTGGAAGGGTTTGTGAGTGGGCATTGATGAGGGCTGTGAATCACCAAATTCGGTTAAGGCTACTAGCATGTATCCAATTTAAGAAAGCTACAAACCTAATGAATCCAGTATAAAAGGAGTGGGACTCAGAAAATAAGAATTTGTAAGTGTTTAGTCCACACTGCTGCTGGGACGGACACCTGTGGTGAGCACAGAACTGTGTTGGCAGATGTCCTGTCAAGGGTGGGCTTGTAGTCCCCGCTGCTGGGAGTGCTGCGAGCAAAGAACCTTCTTTAGCTGTCAGCTCCTTCGAGATTGCCTCAGCTGGAGGTTACTTCACCCGAGGTCGGGCCCTTTGACTCAGCGCAGGACAAACCTGACGGGTCATTGGAACACCACGGAGTCACCCGAGGCTTCGTGGTGCCTGCATCGCTGCCCCTTCTCTCCTGCCCAAGGCTGTCTCCTTTCCTTTGCTCCCACAGATGGCATCCCTACAGATTCCCTAAGACTCCATCCCAGGGTCTGCTTCCTTGCAGCAGGGGTCACGGGCTCAAGTGCCTTCAGGTGAATGAAGCTGGTTGGTCCAGTACAACAGGGAGTGGTGGCGAACTACAGGAATCAGAGAGCTTGTGCCGCATCGCAATTTCTAAAACTTGAAGAACAACATTGTGTACTCTGTGCAATGTGTGTAAGCTCCGTTGACCCCCGCACCTCCTGTGTATGACCTGTGCTTTAGAGCTGTGCTCTCTCTTTTGTTAATTAATACACTGGACTCTGTCCTTGATGTGTCTGTTGAGTTTGGTCACGGTGAGTCAGACCCTAAAAGTTTCCCCAAATCATGGTGCAGTGACGCTAGGAGGCTCTGACCCTGAACTGCAGGGTCCCACTGAGGTAGTGCTTGCAGGACGCCTACCTGGAGCCAGCCTCCTTCTCTGACCTTGATCTTAAATCTTAACACCTGCTAATGTCTAAGAGTAACCCTGGCCTCTCTCTCTTCCCTTGTAACCTTCCTAGGTTGTTCCCAGCTCTGGTGTCTTTTTGTGGACATGAGCTAGCACCGGGCCTGGGGAGATAAGGATGCTGACTGCAAGGCCTTAGAGGTCTGGATCAGAAGGGAACAGGAAACAAAGCCCCTTTGGGATGGGAGTTGACACCACCTGCCGGGTGGGACCGCACCCTTGTACCCTCGTTGAGGGAGACAAGTAATCTGGGCCACATCTGGTCTGCGTTTTTTGCTCCCAGCCCAGACTCACTCTGGACTGCCCTGCTGGGTGGCTTCATTGAGCCAGAGAACAAAGAGGGAGTGCATCCCTAAGCACAGTTGCTATGGCAACCGCCTCCCCTCAGGAGCCTGCAACTGCCGCCCACTTCACCCCTTGTTGCCTCCATCAGCAGTTGAACTCGAATCCCTGAGATGAGTCCTTGAACACGGATTACTGGCCTGTGTAGCTCAGGTTCCTGGCTCAGTGTGCCAGGTTTCTGCAAGATGCTGTGTCTCATATATCTGTTTTGGCCACTGGGGGGTGGGGAGAATCAGATTCCACGTGTGTGGGCCCCACACTTGTGTGGTCGGTAAAACGTGCTCCCAACCTGGGCTTAGTGTCTGAATAGAAAGGCATCTTTGCCACAATGAAAACCAGAGGGTGAAACAGAAAACCGTTTTAACAGAAGTTGTTTATTTTAAGAAGACACAAACAGCTCTAGCTATATAAAGAATACAGTTCAATTGCTGGTAGCAAGCCAGTAAGGAATGCTTTTGTTTAAAAAGAAGAAAGAAAGAAAGGAAGAAAGGAAGGAAAAAAGGAAGAAAGACAAGAAAAAGCCTTTGTCATATCACCCCACAGAGGGCTCCCTTCCATCTTGTGTTGGGATTCCAGGAAGATTGGGGTTCTGATCTTTCCTAGTGTCTGCTGCTTCCTGAACTTTTCCTCCAGGGACACATTGTCATCGCTGAGGGGACTGCCCTATCTCTGCCTTCCAGTTCAGGATGTTGGTCTATACATTCCTGTCTTCCTGATTTTTCTAAGTGCATTGTTGGCACTCAGCGAGCATGGACCTGTAAGTGCATAGTAGGACTAGCCAATCCTTCTTCATTTTGCTTTTGGCAAGTGCAGTACTTTTGCTGCTTAGAGTCAAGTCTAAGGTGTAAGTCTGGTTCCCTTCCTAAGTCTAGAAATCTTAAACAAAAGGCAGAAAGAAACTTTCACAGATGCTTTCAAATCAGGAAATCCTGAAGGTAACTCATGTCTCTGACTTCTTAAAGTTTAGATTTCAGTAAGTGTGTAGATCCCTGGGCTCAAATGACAGAAAGCAAGCTAAAGATCCGAAGACAGGAAACCTGCAGCCTGAGAGGTGTGTCCGAGTGACTGAGTCCTGATAGAACGAAAGTCCTAGCTCTCTGTATGTTGGTCTATCCAGAAGTGCCACACAGGAGCTTCTTCAATGGCTTCCTGGGAGAAGCCAGCGGAAGCCAGCGGAAAGACAAGAAAAGGCAAATGCCTCAGGAGCCCCCATCTCCTTGACCAGCCCTATCAGATCTGGACCTGGACCAGAGAACTGCTGTGAGCACTGGAAGGGCTGTGTGTGCACGTGTGAGAGAGTCACATTAGGGAACGGGGCCTTCACAGTCCAGGTGGAGAACCCACGCTCACACACTCAGGCACACGCCTCATTGACACAAATCCCCCACCTCTGTGTTTATATGAGCAAATATGAAAATGTGAGTCAGATGTATACTCCCAAGTAGCATTAGAAGTAGACATGGAGCAAAATGGAGAGAGATGAGAAGAAGCTTTAAGGAATCCAGGAAGCAGGCGGCTGGTTGTGGTACAGCCCGGGGCATCCCAAGGAGTCCATCCGCGGGGGCCAGGGCCCCGGAAGCAGGGAAAGCTGGAGGCACAGAATACCTTCTGTGACTCATTGGTTTGCTTGCTGGGGTTGAGTGTAGAACAGGTCTTAAACTAGTGATGGCAGTATGGGGCAGAGCAGGACAGGTGACCCAGGGTAGGGGTCTTCAACCACAGTTTGGGGAGTAATATGGGACAAAAGAAATAAGAAAGCTCAGAAAGCCATTGTTTCCTGCCAGCTTACCCCAAATTTGAGGAAGCAGAGGCACATTGGATAGGCAGGACAAGATGTCTGGAGAAAACAATGAGGGGTCCGACACCAAGGCAGTCAGTGAAAATGAGAGGGAGGGGTGCAGAGAGAGAGAGAGCTAGAGACAGAGAACTAGAGAGACAGAGAACTAGAGAGAGACAACTAGAGAACGAGAGAGAGAGAGAGAGAGAGAGAGAGAGAGAGAGAGAGAGAGAGAGAGAGAGAGAGAGAGAGAGAGAATGAGACCACATAAGGGGCACCTACTGGAGAATGATGGTTGGCACATGCAGCCCCTCTCCACCCACCTCTGTGTAGACTGGTGTGACAGTGCAGTACGTGGGAGGGCAGTGAGCCACGTTACCCAGGACGCAACACAGTTATCACGTGGGGCGGGTCACGGCAATGCCTGTTCTAGAAGATAGTCTGGACCCGGGGTCAGTGAACTGTGACAGGCCAAGCGGGTTAAATCCAGCCTGTGGCTTTTTATGGCCCAAGAGTTAAGAATGGTATTTACATATTTTAAGCTGTAAACACACCTTTTTAAAGGTCAAACAACAAAGAAGACTTTGCTACTGAGACCACATGTGGTCCACAAAGTTGAAAAAGTTACTATCTGGCCCTTTACAGAAAAAGTTTATCACCCCCCTGGTCTACATGATGGGGAAGATCCCACCCATCTCTGAACATTGTTGAAAAGGGAAACCAGAGAGGTCCAGGAGAAACAAGGGAATAATGGAAAAGCCTGGACATACCACTCCATATGACCAACAGTCCTAAAGGGGCACTCCTTGCAACTCCACAGAATAGTGAGGTACGCATGAACTATGGAAGGAAACCCAAGAATAGCTAAAGGCAAAGTCACGCTAAAGGGCATTAGGCAAAGAATGTTCTGGAAAAAAGACTGCATGCAGAGCTCGCTGCTGACTACGGTATTCTGTTATTGTTTGATAAGATGGACATAGAGTTTGAGCCCAGGGATTGGAAAAAAAATCAAGCTTGGTGAAGTTTCTAGAACACAAGTAAGTATCTCATGAGCATTTAACAGTCTGAAAATATCTCATAAAGTTTAAGAAGGGAAGGATAAAGTAGACTCTAGGAAAGCCTATTTTGGCTTGCCCTACTTTAAATAAACACCAATTACAAAAGTTCACACTAAAAAAAAAAAGAGAGAGGCATTGACAAGAAAGTCATTTGTTTTTCAAAATAAATCACCAGAAGATTCCCTTACACAGGAAGCTTCTTTCCTAAAAAACGGAATTTGATTAAAAAAATTCATTTTTCAAACAGCTTTTAAGGAAGACATCCATTGTACGAAGTAGAGCACATGTTGAATTTGGAAGGAAATCAACGTTTCTAAACTGAAAATCAGATTTGTCTTTGGATTCATGAACTAAAGAAGTCTTGAACATTTTTTCTTAAAGCATAGGTATTAGTTCACTGAAATACCTGGGAAATTCATGTGTCATAAAAGTAGACGCCAGCTGTAGGTCTTCTATTAATGTAGTGCTTTAAATGAAAAGACACTGGACCCAGAGGCAGGAGACCTGAGACTGAGGCCGGGCCCTGCCACCGTGTGACCTTGTGTAAGTTATTTGACCTTTCTGGGCCTCAGTTCCTCATCTGAAAAATGAGAAGTTGGTCCTTTTCAGCTCTAACATTCCGTGACTACAGATAAATATAGAAATAAGATAAATACAGCAATCTAGAAATAAGAAATATTCCCCAAAGTAAGCTTTGAAGGCAGTAGAAAAAAGTAGCAATGAAATATAATAAAAAGAATAAAATTTTAACTACTAGCCAGAGTAAATATATCTCATTTAAAAACGAATGAAAAGATTTGCAATTTACAATCGATCAGGAGAGGTAAGAACATACATATTGATATTTTTTCACCATCATACATAAGGCGGAGGAAATGAATTTGAGGTGACTTGTACAACAAGCATTGTATTTGCATGCATAACATTTTATAAAATTGGACATTAAAAAAGCTCAACACCACGTAAGGAATAAATTTCTATAAAGCTTGGCATTAAAGAGAGGCTGAGAGGGGTTAACTGGTTGTTCCAGCTCATATTTTGTTTGTGGATTTGTAGATACAAATTCCACTATTTAGGCAAAATCTTAAAATCAAATATACTTCTGCCAGAGCCCTTCTAGAAAACAGCCACCATGGTGAAGATAGATATTTAATGGTTGGCAATCCCAAACAAACGCAACACCTTTTCCTTTTTCGTATTTGTGAATTTAAAAAAATTTTGTTTAAACCCAAATCAGGCTAGATGTGTAAAAAGTGAGCAAGTAGTTGATTCAGTCTGATAATTTCTTAACACCAAACAACATATACCTGACCAACATGACAATCTACAGCACTTAGCCAGAGACTGATCACTGTAATGATAGCAGAAATGACAGGAAAGGTCGGGATCATTGGGACAGTCGTGGCTATAGTGTGATTCGAGGGCTTGAAGAAGTAACATCACTGGAAGAGACACACACACACACTCTCACACTCCAGGGCTGCTGCTCTGCTGGTCCTGGGACCACACTTTGAGAACCGCTAGCTTTGATTGGGGGCTTTACTGAACAAGAGTATATACCTATTTCACATAACCCATGACTTATACAAATTCATTTTCGCTAAACATTAAAAGCATCTCAAATATGTGTCTATAGCCATTTATTACTGTGTTCCTCTATAAATTTGTTTCAGAATATTCTAAAACTTTGTTTATTTCATGTCATTATTTCAATCATTATAATTTTTGCTGCCCTTTGACAAAGGAGGATCTTTGTACCTCTTTCCCACTCTCTTGTCCTTTTTTTTTATTAGTTTCAGGTGTACAAAGCAACATACTAGTTAGACATTTACACCCCTCACAGAGTGATTCTCTTGTCCTTTTAAATCCCTAATGTCTTAGTCGCTTAGAGCTGAAATGCACGCAAAGGCTTTGGAGGGACTGGTCTCACTCTCATACCAAGCTGAGGTGAGAGCGCAAAACATAGATGGGGGAAGCAGAGGCTTGTGTTCAGTAAAGCTGTACCTCCAATCGTTTTAACAATCACCACCAATGCTGGATGACTGACGTGGATCGGACAGTATTGCAACAGTCTGACCTTTCACAAACAGGACACATTTTCACCAACTCTTTAAATCGTTGTGTTTTTACTCAAATGGTAAATACTATTAGTTCCATCTATGTAAAAATGGTCATGTACAAATGAATTATCTAGGCCTTTTCAGTGGCTTTTCGTAGCCATTTCTGAGAGTCCCTTGGTGGCACTGGGTATCAGCACAGTTAAATTGACCACCAGTCATTTAGGAAAACAATTCCAGGAGATAGCGGTATTTTTCTACATTCTGCAGTTAGCTGTCAGGGAATTTGGCCTTTCCACGGTGAAAAACACACCTCTGCCACTAACTGATGCCTAAAATTCTACAAGTAGAACTTCATTCCTTTGGCTTAAGGCTTTTCCCCTGTCAAGCTGCAAACGACCCTCAGAAGAGGTAGCATTAAGCCTTGAATTTAGCCCTTTCCTGAGAGCACGCTTTTCTTAGCTGGGAAGAGGACAAAGTAGGAGGCACTCGGGACAGTGGGTGCTGGAAAGCAAGGTCTGGGGACCCCAGCTCACTCATGATTTTGCTGACGGGCTATTCCGGTCTGCCTCCCTTACTGAAATGGGTGCTAACTTGCCACCTGGAGCAGGTGACGTAGAAAGCAACCATATTTTCAGATAGTACTGAAGAGTCTGTGATGTAGAGGCATACAAAGGTTTATAGCAGTGGAAACACAGCGATAAAACATTCGCTGCAAAAAGAGGTGGGGGTCTCCCCCAAATCAGGACCATACTTGTTCACAGGAAGGAGATTAACTGATACTACTTTATGGAGTGTGAACGCAGGGCCGGGACCAGGGTAAGGCACTTGCACAGCCCCGACAATGGGCGCCTCCTTAAATTTTGCACCCCAGGCCCCTCACTCACCTCACTCTAGTCGTGGCCCTGGCAAATCATATTAAAGGGACAGCTCACCATTGTGTTACAGATGTGGAGATGATGAAAGGCTGCAGTGGTGAGGAACAGAGCACTGGCCATGAACTCGGCTTTTTAGGGACTAGTTGGTTTATGAGAAAGAAGGCAGGTGCATGGACAGATCTGCTGAGACTGGTGGGTACAGTGGATCGCAATCTGATCCATGTTGTCTAGACAGTTAAAATGGATGTCTGGTAAAATGCTTGTTGTAGAATCTCCTCTATCTTTGCACATTCAAGGTGATGTGTCCAGATCAACTGGTCAATTTGTGTGCATGAAGCTACCATGAACTACTTTGTTGCCTGTGGTCTTGCCTCCTTAAAGGGTGAACTGTCGACTAGGCATGCAGTTCACAGGAGTTGGGGCTGAGGGACAAGTTAGGGCCAGGTGAGAGCCCCACAAGAGAGACCGAGACAGGTAAAGGGCAGGAGACCAGCAAAGCTTCCTGTCATGCTGAGAATGACTGGCTCGCTATCCTCAACATGCAAACCACAAATTCGTAACGAATACCCACCAAGTGCAAAGCACTCTTGGCTACCAATTAACGTTCTCCTTGACTGGACTGGACTCAGTCTGGCAGAGCCACCAGCTGGAATCAGAGGTAACAAAGGGATAGAAACAACTAGAATGGGAAACTGACCCCCTAGGGCCAACTTCATTTCCCTTGAACCCCTTCTGTTATTACTATTCACACTGGTAGTAGTGGGTTCTCCGAAAGCCTTCCTGGTGGGGCTTTCGGTCTCTTGTGCCCAGTCTCAGCAGAAGGCAGCAAGCATGTGCTATGTGCCTGGGCGAGAGGCAGGCTTGAACATAACCCCCAACATCTTTCCTACTCCCAACATTAAGCCTCAGTCCTCAGTGCTGCCTCCAACCTTACCATCTCTGCCCCAAACCCTCTTGTGCTATTGGGAACACCACTGGGGATTTGAGGGCCATTGTGATTACATGGAACATATTCTAAAAATTCCAGCCAAACAGGCTATTGTAGAGGAAAGCAAGAGTCAAGGTAATTGAAAAACATTAAGGTGTCTGGGAATTCCACATTAGAATCCTTTGGGAAAACCACCAGAGGTAGCAAGATGAGGGGAGCGGCAAACCCCACCAGAAGTAGCAAACAAGAAGCTTCCAGAAAAATCAGCAGAAGTAATAAGTCCTATAGCATGCGAGTCTCAAACTTGGCTTTAGAGTTCAGCCATTCATAATAGTTCCCCAGGAGAAAGGCCTGGCGGCCCTTCACCTTTGTCAGGCGAAAGCACAACACCCCTTCGTTTCCCTACACAGGGAAATGTTTCTGTCTTTTGGAATTCTGCGACTGGGGCAGACAACTGTGACATTCACATGTAAATAAAGGCCAGGAATGAATCTATTTTATTTCAGGCAAAACCACTGAAATTTGGTCAGGACCTTCAAACCAAATAGTTCGAATGTTTTCAAAAGCAACTGGGCTTTTGCTGGTGATTGTTTTCAGTGGCTGCTGTCTAAGTCACTAAGGGGAAGTGCTGATTGCAAGGGTGTCGGTAGGCCTGACCTGTACTCAGAAGTCTAGAGTTCAGAACTGTACCAACCCAGGGCCTAGGCTTCGGGCTTCTGTGTGAGGGGCCCAAGTCTTCTAGCACTCAGTGTGGTTTTCCAGCTGCTCTGTCCACTGGACAGCTGAGCTAAGAGCTTGCTTCTCATTGGTGAACAATGTGACCTATCAAAACCAAGATCTGCTTGTCTCTGGGGCAGTTTCTGCATCTTCCAGGAGGTTCATCAATGACTGGTGGGTGGCAGGGGTGGGGAATGAAGGAGGAAGGTGTCGCAGAACCCTCTGTGAAGCAGGTTACAATTTCATTTGACTTCTTTCTCCCTCTTGGGAATGGTGGACAATTAACCCACCATTATTGGTCAGCCAGATTTCTTTGTTCACTGCTTTGTCTGCTTTCCCCCCAACCTCCCAGAAACAGACATATGAAAATCAAATGAATCACTGTTCTTGTTTTGCTTAGAAAATTGAACTGACAAGAATAGTTAGTGCCGCTAAGCTTTGGGGTGGGGGAGGAGGGGTCACAATGATTATTCTGTGGCTCCACCAGCATCCCTTTTACCCAGTTTTTACACTCTCCTCCCACATGGTTAACTGCAAGTTGGTCAAATAGCAGAAACTAAATGGCAAAAAGTAGCCCTTTTTTTTGTGTTGTGGGCCATAGCAACTTGCAAGGCTTCCTTTTAGATTCTGGATGTATATTTTTTGCTTGTGTTCTCAGATTTGCACCAGAGTAAAACTTTCTTTAAACCAAACCAAACCCAACACAAAGCACAATCTGAATTGAATGGTGGTGGGCAAGTGACACTCACTTCCTCTCCTCCATTAGCCTTTGATGATGCTGTTCCTTCAGCTAATCACTTCCTGTAATGGGTGTCATATGCAAGTGGAATGAGAGTTCTTAGAATGCAGCATAAGCTGGGCACAGGTCCTAGCTATCGTTGGCAGACACTTGAAGGGTCTCAAGGCTCATGTGCAAGTTACCTTGGATTGGCGTGAACAAATGGCAGCCAAGTTTGTTGGCTTAGCTTGGTTCGTCCAAAGCAACCCAGTCCTGACCTTTTCTAGCTGAGGGGTGGGGGGGAAGGGTCTGTATGTTATTGAAACTCATCACCCTGATCTCCGTGTAGACAATCAAACTGAAAAAGGCATGAAGCTCAGGACAGAGTCACATTCATATTTTGCACAACAAAAGCCATCCAATCAACCCCATGCCGCAATGAGTGCACACCTGCAAACGTCTTGAGAGGGAGACATAAACTGTGGTCGAGGAGGCATCCAAGTCTTCCTGTTTCTCCACATAGGTCATCAAGTCCTTGGAGGAAAGCGAATAATCAGCAATGGCTCCCTACGGCCCCAGGTGTGGCAGCCCCCAATCTGCTCTCACACCATGCCCCTCCCTCAGTGACAGGAGCAGCAGAGTCATTGATTGAAAAGATGGCACCTGTGCCCTTGCATCTGAGAATTTCTGGGGGAAAATGAGAAAATCGGTAGTAAGTAATGGCAAGATTTGAAGTATGAAAATGTAAAATGTCTGAGGATGATTAAAGTGCCTGATGATTTTAGTTCTAGATACAGTGGTCTCTGTCCTGCTGTCCAGAATGTAAGCGGATGTAAAAGAAATGTAGGCTCTTTTGTTATTTGCATGGTTTCTTTTGAAAAGCCTTCCTCTTCCCCCTTCTCTACTCAGGTCTACTCGCTAAAGCCTGCTTGCTCGACCTGTGCTTTAGGTGCTGGGGCTGTCGGTGCTGTCGTAGTCTTTTGAAAACTGTGCGATAATTCTCCGAGCCAGTGGGCTAGTGGTCTTCAGCAGTTCAGCTGCTGAGGGGCGGGACCTCGGGGTTGCCTTACTTCCCTTCTTCTGTAGCAAGGCTTTGAAATCATCATTTCTGCCAGCATCGAGGCTGGCACAGGCAGCCGGCTCACTGATGACTGGCGCATCAGCTGCGTTCCTTATTGGTGAGTGGGAGCTCGGTCTGTTGCCTCCGGCAAAGGCCTCGCCGGGCTCCTTCCAGCCAAGCAGCTTTCTTTTGGACCTAAATAATGGAAGATTCAATATGAGTGCATTCATGCGGCGGACATTTCCTAATGCTTCATATAACTTCATCAGTGTCAGTGACCATCAGTGACACGATCTGGGAAACTTCTATGTAGTCGCACTCACCAGCTTTCCTGTCACCACTAAGTCCTCAGACCCCCTAGAATCCTTTCAATGCCTGCATCTTGAGCCACTAGTCCTGTGCCTGCCCAGGTTCTGGGACCAGAGAAGAATTTAGGGAGTTGAGGCGAGTAGCTCAGTGACTGTGAATCAAGGCGGCCTGGGAGCTGATCCTATTCTAACAACTAGTCTCTTTCAGTTTCCCCTCTCACCAGGTCCCCGCTCTGTGCGCCTGTCCAATAAGTCAGTTCCCATCTGGTCCCCCTTTGCCTAAGTTCCTGCTCTGAGACTCAGCCTGGCGCCTCACTCCACTTCTTGATCAAATTTTTTGGTATGACGAATTCTGTGAAGGGTTAAATGTCTCTGACTAGACACAGCTGTGAGACAGCAGATGGAGTCACAATAGGCCGTGCGGTTGCTAGGAGACGAGGGGCCTCTCACTGGGCACCTGGTCCTCCCTTCCCTACCCCTCCTCCACTTCACCCAGAGATGTGAGTGAATTAGCAAAGTGACGCCCTGGGCTGCTTACACATATGTGGCTATCTGAACTATAGTCTCCAGTTTCAATTCTAATGGCTGGCGAGAGGGAGCAGTTTGTCTGGTGGTATAAAAAGGGAAGGTGATTACAATAAGAATGAAGACAATTGGTCCAGACCTGTGTATCACTGTAAATAAGTCTTCAGTTGTGCGTGAAGCCACAAACACATCGTCATCGTCTTCAGCAATCCATTCAGCTGTCTTATCACTGATGACACTTTTTTCTTCAGTGCTTGCTTCCATAGAACTCCCTGGGTATGAGAACCAAGAGAAATTACTTTGACCACAACAGCGAGGAGAAAGCACATTGTCATCTGTGCTTCACATGATGTTCAAAGGAAGGGCAGCAGGGCAGACAGTCTTAATGTGTCCATTTTACAAAAGAACATACTGTTCAGAACTTAGTGATTGGCCAAGGTGGACTGAGTGGTAAAGATCACTCTGTGTCCCTGTTACAACAGGTTGCCTGAACAAGGTCTTCCTTAAAAGGTGTCACTTTTAAACATTGGGGAGCTGAGAACAATCTAAAGCAATGAGTCAACCGGTGGGTGAGAAGGGAGTCTCGTTGAATCTCAGAGGGTGCCTATGGAGTCTGAGAAAGAATAGTCTAAAATCACCTGTGGCTTTGATTTGTTTGTGTGAAATAAGCCAATCATGAAAAGACAAATAGTGTAAGACTCCACTTGTATGAGGTCCCTACGATACTCAAATGTATAGAGACAGAAAGTAGATGGGTGGTTGCCAGGGACTGGGGGAAGGGGGCGATTGGGGAGCTGTTTAGTGGGTACAGACCTCAGTTTTGCAAGACGAAGAGAGCTCTGGAGATGGGTGGTAGTGATGGTCGGTCAACATTGTCAATATACTTAACACTACTGAACTGTACACTTAAAAATGGTCAAGATGGTCAATTTTATGTTATGTGTATTTTAAATTACAATCTAAAAAGAGACACAATTAAAAAGAGACAGGAAAAAAAAACCCCAAAAAGGATGAGAACCATTATCTAGCCTCGTCTTACTGTTCCAGGAAGAGCTAGCCTCAAACCATCGAAGACAGCAAGCTCCGTTTCCTCTCGAAAGCCCTAAGAAAGGCTGTTGCTGGTAACACAACCATTGCTTCAGCAGCCTGCAAGCCCACCATGGCCTGTGACCTCAGCCTGGGAGGGCACGAGACCCATGCATGAAACGGGAAAAGTCCTGGGCAGGGGAGGAACGCCTCACTAGGTAGATGGGCTCCTGAGGTCTTAGGGTCTAAGACCACCTTGGATTTCATTATCTCAGCACTGGGGGTTCCAGGGTAGACTGGCTCAGTCTGGGCCTCGGAGATCAGCCCCTGGGTCAGTTCTGGTCCCTAGCGCAGTGAGGCCAAACCCTCAAAAGTTTCCTCCACTGACTCGGCCATCCTGGGGTGAGGGTCGTGGGGCACTGTCACTCCATCCTCACCCTCATCTCTCCTGGGATTGAAAGGAAAAGCCAGCAGACAGTTTACTCACCTGTAGGGCTTGCCTCCCTTTCACCGTCAGCTTGTGGGGTTGAAGTCATCCTTGTACCAGGTGATTGCAGCTGGTCGCCGGCACGGGGACACTTGGCATCTTCCTCCAAGGTGATGACAGGGCTGAAAGGCAGCCTGGGTTCGGCCACGTAGGCCTCCATTTGAGCTGTGGGTGACGTGAGAGGCAGGTACAGCACGCTGGGCTTTTTTGGTACAGGAGGTGGGATCTTGCCTTTCTTCTTCTCAGCGACTTCCTGGCTCTGGAGGCTAATCCTCTCAGGCAGGGCTTTCACCTTGGGGGCCTCGTCCTCCGTAGTTCCCTGGGGAGGTTGCTGTGTTCCTGAGAAGAAAGCACCAGAGGAACTGACAAAAGGTGTGAAAACAAGAGAGGAGGGTGCTGCTGATCCCCCTGGGCTTCTGGCCTCAGGGAAGCTGGAGGACTTTGGTTTCCGAGCTACCGCATGGGTGTCTGGAGGGAGTGGCCGCATGTGTTGATTGGAGCTCTTAAAGGTCACAGCCAACGCAGGCGAGGTTAGTGGGTATTCCTCGGAGACGGATGAGGGCTTGTGGACCAAGCTTGGAGGCCTTCGGGCCAGTGGGGGTTTCTCAGCTATGGGAGGTTTCATCTTCCTCTCTGGCAAGGTCAAGACTTCTGCTCCTGATTCCTCAGCATAGTCAGGGCTCTCAATGTCATCTTCTGGCTCAGACTTGCTGACTGACCTCAGGCGAACAGAGCGTAAGTCAGACTGAGTAACCATGGGCATGATTGGCTGATTGGGGCTAGTTTTCTGGGCCAGCTTGGCCCCAAAATTTGTATCTGAGTGATGCCGGCTCACCTTGGTTTTGCTTCGGATGGAGATACTCATCCCAGACAGATCCAGGTGGGTCGAAGAGGTTAATGGTAGGTCAAACGATAGTCGTGACTTGGAAATTTTCTCCATCGGTGATGTTGGGGGTAGGGATGACTTCCTTTCAGGTACCACTGGACGCACCCGGACACTGCCGCTTGGAGGGGGCAAGTGGCCTAAGGTCAAGGACATGGAGACAGTAGGTGTGGGTGTCTCTGACTGGCTAGAGTAGCCACTGGAGGGTGACATCAGCCCAGCGAGCCTTCCCGGGGAGGGCACCTCCCTGGCCTCTACCTCAATGGAGAGTTGGGAAGGCGTAGTGGCTCTGGAGGTGGACGGGGAGGCAAGAGACTCTGAGCTGCCCTGAACCTGGGTGCACTCAATGACCGTGGTGCCAGTGGCAGTGCTGGAGCTGGACAAGGACTGGTAGGTGTCACCAGACTTCCAGTCACTAAGATACCAGTGCTGAGAGAAGTGTGCACCTTCTGGATCTTTGAAGGTTGGCACAGCGGGGTGACCCTGGGATGAGTGATGTCCTTGGTGTTCCAAGGACAGGCAAAGGCTCCTGGGCCTCTGGTCCTTGGGTAGTGCCTGCCCACCTTCTGGCAAGAGCACCGGCTCATCTTTGACCAGCGACACACTGCGCGTCGGTGGGGAAGGCTTCTTTTTGGCCTTCTTAAGTGAGATACTCTTGGATCTCTGCCTTCTGTGCTGGACCTCCTGGTGGGCACCAAGGGATGCAATGTTGTCTGCACTGTTACTCCCCTCAGAACTTGTACTGGCATAAGGCAGGGCACAGGCTTCACTGGCCTTTTGCTCCTCACCACAGTCCACATCTGTGGGAACAGACAGCGAGCGCTCCCGGAACCTGCTGACCCCACCTGGGCCTGTCTCCAGTCTCGAGGTACCACCTGTCAGAAGGCCGGCCTTGAAGGGTCGCTCCAATCCTTGCCTTCGGTAAATAGGGTGCTCAGAGTAGCCAGCTGGCCCACTGCATCCTGCAGGGTTGTCACGAGTGACAAAGAGGGTCGCAGCCTCCTTAGGAACCAGAGGTGGCAGTGTGTGCAGAGAGACCCACGAATTCCCAGTGGAAGGATTTTTTCCATTTTCGCTGACTTGATTGCTCTGACTGGTGGCACTTGGAGTCATGTAGGTAAAAGCATCTCCCTTCCAGGAAGCAGAAAATGTAGATTCTGTTGGTCCATTGCAAGAACTGGGGACACTATACACCATTCCCATGCTCTCCATGCCAGGAGGCTTGGTGCCACCACGTGCCTGGAGAGGTTCTTCTGGGTCACTAGAAGGATTTCTCAGTACTGGTGAGGTGAGATTTGGGAACGGGGCTTCCTGACCAACTGCAACTCTTCCATAAGCTCCTTCTGGAACAGAATGACTGGGCCTGATGTCTGAGCTGGCAGAGCGGGGCACCCTGCCTGTGGGGCTGTTGTTGTGACCTGTAGGATGGAAACACAGAACATTAGCAGTGCAGCCAGGGACCCCCCCCCCCCCGGCAGCTCCCGAAATGAGAGCACCACATTCTTGCCAGGGAGCATTTGCCAACAGCTTGGTCAGGATTCCTTGGTTCTTCCTTTCCATGTGAGTCACAGGGGCCCTTGAACTGTCCAGGAGGCTGTCAAAGACTCTCCAGCTTTGATTATTCCTTTTAGAGCACAGTGGCAGGTGGGACTACCTTGCATTTTTGCCAGGTTTTCAACCCAGGCTCATGAAACCATCACAGACCTCAGTGTTCACCTCTCCTGAGATGAAAGCGGAGGCTTTGAACTGATAAGGGACAGTACTGAGTGACTTTCCCCTCCAGCAATGAATGTGGAGTGTGCCAGAGCTGGAAAACCCAGGGTGCTTGCATTTTTGGCACCTTCACTTTTTAGCTTTGCAACATGAGACAAGATAACCAACGGTTGCGAAGGAATATCCAGATGTTCAAAATCCCGAACGGTTGCTCATACATGCAACAATGATCACTCTTGTGTCACCATCATCACTACTGCTGCTACTACGATAATTTATAATAACAGCCACCATTTGTTGAACACAAACTGTGGACAGGCACATGGTGGGCAAATGACATATCATAACTAATCCTCACGACAACTCCCCAGCTTGGTGTCATTTGTCCCCAATTGAGAGACAAAAAGTCGAGGCTCAGAGATGTTATGTAACCTGGCCAAGGCCTCCCGGTTAGTAAGTGGCAGGCCAGGATGTGCGTCCACATCTCTGCTCTGTGCTCTTTGGATGGCTTCATTTAACAGCAGTGATGGTTCTGCTAACATGGGACTCTGAGTGACAATTGTCCCATTTCACCTGCCTAAACTTGACATGCATGGTTATATTCCATTTATAATGGGAAACAATAACATAATGAATTTATAGCCTGGGAGACCGGCTCCGCATACCACATTGGGTTTTTTGGGGTATCTGAAGCTTCCCGCCCCCAAGTTATTCCTGTCCCCGTCACCACGATACCACCTGGGTGACGGGATGGGTGGGAGTGAGCAAGAAGAAGGGTCTGGGGGATCAGCCGTGCTGGGGTCACCTTGGTCTCGCTGGGAAAAGTTAGAGAATCCAATAATGGTCCGCCTCCGCCTCAGGGTGGACTTGGGGTTCACGGCTGTCTCTGTGTTAAACAACGAGTGTCGCAAACTTGCATGTTTATCAAACTGCTGCCCTGTAGCCAAAATAAAGACACTTGGGTGCATCCCGGCTTCTGTTTACAGTGGACATGGGCCTGGGGTGCAGAGAAGAGATGATGACAGCAGCTATGAGCATGAATAGCATCCAGGCAGGTGACCCTTCCTCCATATCCCTCCCAACTTGGCTCTGGACACCCAGAGCCCCAAGGCACACATGCTGGCTTTCAGACGCTGCACTCGGGTGCATCTGTGAGTCTTAGGTGGCCGAGAGCCATGGTTTTTCAACCCTGGCTAGATATCGAAATAAACTGGATAGCTTTGGAAACTCCAACACCTGGACCCCACCCAGAACATTTAAATCTCAGGGAGGGGAGGCCAAGTACAAGTGTTTTCTCAAACTCCCCAGGTGATTGATTATTCAGATCTACAGCCTGGGGCGAGAACTACTAGTGTTAGAGACACAGGTTGACACTAGATGTTTCTAGATTGTAATCTTTTCTCAGAGAAAGCCTTCATGTAGGACAAAAAACAGTGCCTCCAAGAAGCTGCCCCACCTCCCCCCAGGAAGCAGCCTGACAGTCTGTCATTGTGTCAAAGTTCACCCCTGCGTGGTGACTGAGATCTATTTCTCTTAAAGCACCAGGTCAGTCTTAGCTGCTATGGAATTGCTGGGGCAGGGCAGGGGCAAGGTGAGGCAGGGGGTGAGGTCTGCTGCTCTCCTCACTGTCTCTTATTCAACAGCTGGCTAACCAAACCCTCCCCTCAGCCCTGTGGCTGCATGTGACACACCACCCCCCACCCCCACCGCAAGTGACTCCGTGGGGAAAGGTCAGGGCCAGTCTCATTGAAATTAAGATAGAAGTTCAGAAATGAAGCGCCCACCATCACTCTGTGAGTCTCCCCTCTCCTCTTGGGACAGCTCCCCTGGCTGTGGGCTTTATCTCGTGCCTCTGACTGCCTGACATCACCCCAGTGGCACCCTGTATCCAGGGAGCATCCCCACATGTGGCCAGAGCTGTCCTCATCGTCTCCATCAAGTTTTCCCAGCTGGGTGCCTCTGGTCCCTTTGAGTTATAAAGCCTTGATGTCATTGGGTTGCTGGCCCTATCTCCTTTGAAAGTGACCAACCCTCCTCCTTTCCCACTTACAGCTGCTGGAGTGTGCAGCACAAATTAATAATGTGTGTGGTATAAGGTGTCCCATGTCCCCCAAGTCACAGCCAGCTGAGCCACATACATCATTTTCCCGCTTTGGTCCTTCTGGCCTTGGTCCCTTCCCGTGACATCCCTTCTTAGACACTTGCCTCACAAGTTGGGGAGGCCCGCCTCACTGGAATGGTGACTGTCTATGTCAAGTGCCATCAGGCCCGAGGTCTGGGTCCCGGGTGCGAGCCTCCCTTTCAACACCAGCATCCTGAACCCCACACCTCCCCTCCGACTCCTGGCACAAGCAGCTTTCTTTCCCCAGCGCAAATATAACTCACAAACGTGAATTTCCACAGATGCTCCAAAGAGCACACACATTCATCAAGTTTGAGAGTTTTCCGTTAAGAACATTTTGTTTGCTATCAAATGGTCTCAGTTAGTGTGGCAGTGCCAGTAGAAAATGAAGAAAGAGCAGCCAGAGCCCCCTCTTCTGCATGCCTCCATTTCCTGGCGAGAGCCGTGACCTTGACAGTGCAGGGTGAGCCAGTAGCAAAGAAAGTCTCGCTCCCTCCCCCAACCCCCAGTGCGTTTGGAGAGGATGGTCTGTAGTTGGCATGGAGGGAAGCAAACAGGTGGTGCTGAGCAACTCTACCAGAGATGTTGATTGGCACAATGTCAGAGTGCGTGGAGCAAGGCTGCCGCCGTCGCTTCTCCTCTAGGGTGGGCAGAGGGAAGGGGCTAGTCCAGGCAGCTTGCTTGTTGGCTGGGGTCGACAGGCTCAGAGAGGCCTCAGGGGCCCTCACACCCTGGGTGGTGGTCTCATCCTCGTTCAGCTGCTGTTTTGTAGGCTGTTGGGAAAGAAGGTGATGGGAAGGGTGTGCTCCCGACTGGGGCTGGATGAGATATGCCCACGGGATGGCTGTCTAGGCAGGGTGGTTGGAGCCTTCGTCTGGGAGGCAGGTGAGCATGGACGGGGTGCCAGCCAGATACCTGCTGTGCAGGGCCGTGTCGGCTGGTCGGCCGGGCCTCAGGATGGCTCTGCTAGTGAGCAGAGGTGAGCAGCAGCTTCCAGTGCATAAGTGTGAACAGCTGGAGGTCCCCTGTTGGTGGGTGCAGGGCGAGCTCTGCATGCTGGCTGTCCCAGGCAGGGGAAGAGGCGACTCACCATCAGTACCAACTCCAGACGCCTGGCACACTGGGGCCTTGGGCTGGGGGTGGGCTCAGGGGCCTCATCAGCAGAGCGGAAGGTCTGCCCCAGCAGTCTGGCCTCCGAGTACTGTTCCTCATATTCTTCTGAAAAACAGCACAGCGGATACACACTCTAGGGGGCCATGGCCCAGCGCGGGGCGGGGGAGGGACTATGAGCTGGGGCTCCTGCTCTAGCTGGCGGGCCTGGCTTGCATGGTTTCTTAAGATATTTCCTGGCATCTCAGCCTCTGGATTCAGAAATGGAAAAAGGCCTACTCCCTGGGACTATGAGAGCCGAGGAGAAGAGAGAGTCAAGAGATTTGAGTTGTGCTGCTTCCGGGACCAAGCCCTTGTCTCAGTGGCCCCCACCTTAAGTGCGCAACTCGGAGAAGAGGCTCAATATGCAGACTTTTGCTACTTTTATGCCGCAAGGTCTTCTCTTCAGGTTTTCTGCAGCCCTAGCCAGCAAATGACCCGTGTGAAGCGCGGAGAGATTTGCATGGAGAAGTCCAACGTCGAGTGCTCCCCTTGCGTGTCAAGAGCTCTTGCTGGAGCCTCCGAGGGCCTGGCTTCCTGCCTCAGTCCCACTGTAGGTGGTGCCAGGTCCGGGGGGGGGGGCGAAGGTGAAGGAGAGGGAAGGCAAAGGTAGTGAGTGGCAAAGAAGGAAGGAGAGGTCAGGGAATAAGAAGGATGTGAAAGGTCTAAATGGGTTGCGTTTAAGTGATGAATTCGATGAGTACATGAAGGAAATGAGAGTAAAGAAGCAACAGGCAGGGCTGTTGCACATTTGAACCAAGACTTTCAAGCTCGTAGGAGCATTTGAGATCTTGCTCCCTAGAATATGTCATCAGTTTGACTCAAAGTCACAAAAAACAAACAATCACAGAAACTTGGAGTCAGGAGAGGCCTGGAAAGTTCAGGCCTCCTCCTCAGCAGCCTTTCCAGGGGCCTCTTTAGCCTCCGCACACACCTGCACAGGACAAAGCAGCCTTCCTCCCAAGGCGGCTCATTCCATCCAAGGACAGCCGGGGCTGTCACGTGTGTCAGGAATGTTCTTCCTTATCTCGAGGTGAAATGTGCCTCCTTCTGGGTCCCCCTCCACAGGCCCATGGTGACAACACAGAGCACACTGACTCCTCTCTTATCTGAACACAAGGCTCATGGTGTCCCTTGCAATGTTGCTTCTCCAAGGTCACCACTGCCCTGGCAAGGAGGGGGTGGGTTATGGCTGTACTGCAGGTGGGTGGCCACCTGCTGTTTTCTATTCTCCGCTGGCATGGATAAGCGAGAGGTGATAAGACGTCTTTTCACATTTAACTTTCACTCTACAAACGTGTACTGAGCACCTCTTGGGGATCCAGCCATGCCAGGTGTTTCTGGAAACCCAAGAAATGCGTTTCTTTACACTGACAAGCTCAGTCTGGCTAGGCGGACAGAATACACACCCAGGACTAGTAGATGAATGAGGAAAGGAATGAACAAATGAAATAAAATGCAGTTCAGAACTATATAAGTCCTCTTTGGACGGATGCTACAAATTGCCGCATATGAGTGCTTATGGGTGGAAATATGCAAAGTGCAGGACTCGTATTAAAGGTTTTCTTGGACGAGGCAAGAATAGAACAGAAGAAAGTGTAAGGATTGGAGTGGGGAGGAGCGGGACAGGAAGGGCTTCTAGGCTTGGAAAAGAGGTCCAAATGGGACAGTGGGGGCCTGGAGGGTATATGGAACTTGTGACCTAGCACTGAGGTTTTCTTGTATTATTTTACTGAGATATGACTTGCCTACACTAAAGTGCATTAAGTCTTAAGCATGCAGTTCAGTGAATGTGACATACATATGCTCCGTATAACCTCCATCCAGATATACACAGCATGTCAGCAGTCTGTCTCATACTGCTGAGTTTCAATACTTTTGCCACTTACATTGGATAAATCCCTCTGGTCGATGCATATGTTTTTCATATTGTAAGGTCCTATCAGGGACCACCTTGGTTTAAGGTCCTATCAGGGACCACCTTGGTTTTTCTTTTATATTAACTCTAATATTGTGCTTAGCTCAGCCCCCTGTCCCAAAGGACACGTATTGGGGGTTGGTGTCGCATCTTATCACAGTCTGTCAAGCGGCAAGATACTCCAACTAAGCAATTTACATAAGCCCTGTGTTTCATCCTCACAAAGTGGTGCCATGTGGTTGGAACTGTAATCCCTATTTTAAAGATGGCTTATTAAACGGAAGCTCAGAGACAGTCGGTAATCTGCACAATGTCACACAGCGAGTTAGGTGTACGATTCAAATTAGACTCTAGCTCCACTTTCCACGTCTGGGTTTTGTACCTCTCTGTCTCGTGGGTGCAGTCTGACGGCTCAGGCACTCTGACTGGGCTGTTTCTCTGGGTCGTGTGGATCCAGCTTTCCATACTATGAGCTCATCGGTATACTCCAAAGACACTGAGATGGGAACTGGGGATGAAGGCAGCTCTGGGGGCAGTGTATTGGGCTTGCTGTGGTTAGGCAGTAGCTACCCAGGAGACATGTGGACGGGTTAGTGCAAGAGCAGAGTGACTGGAGCCGGGAGTGGGAGACCCTCCCGATGCCTCCTCTGCCTCCTCTGCCTTTGAGTGCCTGGATTCCCAAGGCATGGGTGACGTGGCAAGATAAGGTCTGGAGGGTATGTGGGCCACACGGTGGGAGTCTCTCATCCAGCTGTTTTTAGAAATGATTTGACCCATTGTCCTGCCTCAGTCTCTGTTCTTTTTTCCCCATGGACTACTGAACTTCCAAAAAAAAAAGGGGGGGGGGCGGGGTAAACAGCCATAGAAATAGGGCCTTTTAGAATTAGTCTAGAAGGTGAAACATGGAAAATGTGTGTTTTGTTTTTCAATAGGCTTTAAGCTGTTCTCTCTTTTTGTCTCGCTGGCCCCTGTCCTCTGTCCTCTGGGCCTCCCTCCAGCCGCTGCTCATCTGGCCGGTGGGGTCCGGCCGCAGCACCCCTCCCTCTTGGTACCTTGCAACAGGCTCTGGAGATTGAGCTGCGCCTCGCGAAGCAGCTCCTCTACACTCGGGGGCCTGCCCGAGGAGAGGAACACGTTCACTGGCTGTCGCCATGACGACCTCGAGTGGGCGGCCGCTGTCTCATTTTCCCGACCCGAGTTAGCTGCAGCTAGGGAAGGAGAGAGTCAGTGAGAGGCGCAGCCGAGGGGGGCGCGGCAGCCACTGGGCGCCCGCGGTGCCCGAAGCCCCGCCCCTGCCGGGGAGGGGCGGAGGGGCGGGGCAAGGCCGCGCTTAAAAGGCAGGGATCCGGCCGCGGCAAGATTTACCCCTCGACAGATCCTGCCGCAGTCCGCTCCAACCGGCCTACCTCCTTGCCGCCCGCCCTCTCCGATCCCCGGGACGAGGTAACGCTCCCAGGGCCCAGCCGCCGCTGGGCCCTGCGCGCGGAGCGCCGGCCCTCCGCGTTTGGCCCGGTGGGTGTGGCTCGGCCACGCCCGCCGCGGCGCTCCGCCCGCGGACCAGGGCCCCGGGAGAGCCCAGATGTCCGAGGCGTCGGGAAATCTCAACAGCCTCCGCATGGCGAACGTGGCCCTGCGAGAAGAATTAAATGCCCTTCGTGGGGAGAATGCCAATCTGGGCCTTCAGCTGGGAAGGGCCCTGGCCGAGGTGAATTCCTTGCGGGGCAATGTATCCAGCTATATCCGCTGGCCGGTGCCCGCTGTGCCCGTCCTTGCCGAGGAGAACTTTGAGTTCCCGCTCAGCGACGTGGACGCCGTGCCCGAGGGCGAGCTGCCCTTCCTGTGCTGGCCGCCCCCACGCACCGAGCCCGAGTGCGCGTCGGACGAGCAGTTGGTCAGCGCCACCCCGGACTGCAGCGCCGCCGACGGCCAGGTCGACCCGCCCCCGCTGCCCAGCCAGGCCCCGGCCCCGGCCCCGGCCCCGGCCCCAGCCCCGGCGGCGCTGCCCCCGTCCACCCCCAGGGAGCTGCCCGCGCAGCCTGCTGCGCCGCAGCTGCAGCGGCCCGAGCTGGAGCCCTTTGCAGGCGACCCAGTGTACCTGCCTGAATTCCTGATGCGGCTAGAGACCTTCATAGCCGACCATGAGGACCACTTCCCCGGGGGCGCCGAGCGGGTGGCCTTTCTCATATCGTTTTTCACTGGCGAGGCCAAGGACTGGGCCGTCTCAGTCACCCAGGAAGGCAGCCCCCTGCATGCTAACTTGGCGCGCTTCCTGGATGAGATCCGTAAGAAATTCTGTGGGCCCATCCCCGCCATTGTGGCGAAAAAGGCCATCCGCAAGCTCAAGCAGGGGGACTGTACCCTGGGCAGCTATGCAGACGCTTTCCAGTTCCTGGCCCAGTTTTTGTCTTGGGATGACTGCCGCCTCCAAAACCAGTTCCTCAAAGGCCTGTCCGAATTCTTTCGCAAGGAGCTCTTATGGTCGACCGAAATGGCCGACCTGGACGAGCTGATTCTGGAATGTGTGGAGATTGAAAGGAAAGTGCGCGTCCCCAAGCCAATGCCGCTCCCTGGGGTTCGCAATTCCTTCTTCCCATTCGCTGCAGACCCTAATCTCGATGGCCGCGAAGAAGAAGGGCGCCACAGTGAGGATGAAGATGCGGAGATGCGCAGGCGCAGGCTTTACGAAAAGGAGCAGCGGAGGCGGGTGCGAGCTATTCAGCAAGAGATGAGGGAGCAGGAGCAGGAGGAGAAGAGGAAGAAGGAGGAAGAGATGAGGAGAAAGGAGAGGGAGGAGATGAGACAGAAAGTGGAGGACGACAACGACGACGAGGACGAGATCGTGGTGGTGGACGTTCTGGACGAGGAGGAGGAGGAGGAGATGCGGAAGAGGGAGGCTGAATTCAGGGGCCCAGAACCGGCGCAGGAGCTGGAGCAGGAGCCCGAACAGGAGGAAGAGACCGAGGATGAGGCCCAAGATGATGACCTAGATGAGCTGATGGACGTGCCACCAACCTTCGCCAATGCTTCATCCCAGACTTCCGGCTACTACCATGAAAATTTCCTAGACGCGTCACCTCCCATCATACAGCCCAGCCGACGGAGGAACCAGAACCGGGTCCCCTTGCTGGAGGGCCTGCCAGGTACCAATTCACCCTTCTACAGCTCACCGCCACATATTCGCCGCGCCGGTCGCTTGGGGCAACGCCACACTCGAAGACGGCCCCCCGTGCTATTCCGCCTCACTCCGAGACAGGGGGGCCACCGGGCTTCACGTGGCCGAATTCGTGTGTGAGTGCTGGGTCGACAGAGCCACCCAGAACACACCCTTCTACTGCGTCCCCTGCCCCTGCTGTTTGCTGCCACACCTGACCCCTTTGCTGACCAGTACTTAAGGGCATTCCAGGCCTGCAGAACCTGAAGGAGACCTGCACAACTACGGACCATCTTGCCGCCATGAGCAGGGAGTGACAGGTGCCCAGCCGAGGCGCATTTGCTGTCCTGTTGACATGCGCTCTGCTCAGGGTTCTGGACCTGTTCCCATAAATGGACTGGTCATCCCCTTGCATTTCCCCTCTAGTTGTCCCTAACCTTGTGTTCTACAGTTTTCTCCTCTGACTGGCTCACCAGGAATTCGCCCAGTGCCTCACGGACTCACCCCGGGGAGCGGAAGGACAGGTTGTACTGAACTCTTGAAGCCACTGATGCCACTTGGTAGGTATAACAGACAGACAGCAGGACGGTATCAAGCAAGGTGCCCAGAAGCCTCCACTTACTTCCGGCCACGTCCAGCAGAAGGGCCCTGAAGAGGACATTACATCTACCCAGTGAGGGTGTGCAAGGCCACATGTCAAATGGACAACTTGGCAAGCTGGCTCTGCCTTCCCACAGACTATGGGACCAGGGCCCTTGGACCAGCTCGCTGAACCTGGGGCCCTCTTTTCTTGGCACGCTGCCTTCCTGGGCATCTCTGGTGGGCAGAGCCCAGAGTTACAGGCTTTACTCCTTTCCTTGATGTTGTCCGGAGGGTGGGGAGGAGGACAAAGAACCAGCAACCACTCTGTTGGACACGGTGAGCAGTGACTCTGTCCTTAGGGACGGTGGTCTTCTCCCCGGCCAGGCTTCAGACTGCAGCCCCTGCCGCAGGTCTTGGCAGGAGTCTTGCCATCCTTGTGGGTCCAGAGGAGGCCTCATTGGCTTTTCCCTCCCAGACTGCCAGAGAGGGCCCAGGCCTGCTCTGTAACTTCAACAGAAAGGATTCCGTAGTTCCCGAGGAGAGAGAACGGTTCTCTTGGGAGACTGCACCCCCTGCAGCCTCGCAATCGGGATGTCCTCACGTCTCTTACATGGGGGTCAAGCCATGGCCTGGTGCTGGGCTTCCATTTGACATGAGGCGTGAGAGGATGACTGCTGCCTAGTGACTCCTGGGACTTCTGGGTACAAACGTAGGGACGCTTAGAGAGCCCTGCTGCTTTGGTCCAGAAAACACTGCTTCTGCAGTGAAAAGTCCATGCTATGTTACTCTGGCCACAGAATGCCAGCCAAATCCACTGCTGGCCTGCACTGCCCTCGACACTGAGCACCCTGCATGGTGCCTGGCAACTGACCAAGTGCGGCCAAAGTGGCCACAGGGAAGAAAGCCTCTGTGCCTCACCTGAGTCTGACAGGTAACCTCAGCCCAGCCTTAGGATTTTGAGCCTGGAAGCAAGATGAAGGGGCTGGAGGAAGAGGAGGCGCACAGACCGGTTTCTGGTGAGGTGTGTGCATCAGTGGAAGGTAAGAAGCCCTTCTGTTTATCATGTTCTCGGCCGGTGGATCGGGGAGCCGGGTTCCTATAACCTGTTGCTGCCTTTAAAAAGCTCCCCTCCCCTCCAAAGAGAAAAGTCATACGTAATTGTTATAGAAAATTTGGAACAGAGAAAACCATTAAGGACAAAAAGAGCCCCACCACACACACACACACGCACACGCACATGCAAGTACTATTAACACTTCGCTGCCTTTCTTTCTAGTGCGTCTTTCAAAGCTCTTGATCAGCAGATTTAAAATGGCTGCCACCTGTGCAGTCATGCCACCTGAATAATTTATTCAAGGATTCTCCTAGTTTGTTGGACATGTCAGTTGCCTGGTTTTCCACACCCCCACAGTGCAGGAGTAAACAATGCTGTAAAGATAATTTTGTCTGTTTTTCAGCTATTTCCTCAGGAGAGAGTTCCAGAAGGGGAACTGCTGTTATTTGGAAGCTGTGGACCCTATTTCTGACAGTTGACATACTTGTCCTGCTGCCTGTGTCCCTCCCAGAGAAGTGCAAAGGACAGGTGCCTTGCACCCCCATCTCCAGGGACCCGTCTGCACAGGCCCTGCCTGTTCCCTGGCGCTTGTCACCCCAAGCCCTGTAGCCTCAGCCTGGGAAAGACTGGGTGAGCAGCGAGCTGGTTCCTGGCCCTGGGGTGGCAAGGGGGCCTGGGCTTCCCTTTGCCCCTCCCCGTCCTCTCCCAGATCTTCTATGCTTGTGCCGTAACAGCCACAAGAGCTGTAAGAGGAACTATGGACTCTGGGTGCTTTCTGGGGTTTAGAGAAGGGTGGGAGGGTGCATGCACGGGTATGAAGGCAGCCCAAGGATTCCCAGAGACTCGGGAGGCAACCCGTTGGAAAGACATTTCTCGTTGTTGTGTTCTTGTGTTGTGAAGGTAAATCTTTCTGTATGCTAAAGCTTTCTCCTCAATAAAAATATAAAGGGTGTGTAAAGACTGTGTCTGTCTGGGTTACTGAGCAAGCATGGATGGGTACCCCATAGGCACCAGGTACTTCCAAGGCAGCTGGCCTGAAGCCTTGCCATGCTTCGATGAGGAAACAGGCCCGGTGAGGCTCGAGGAGCCTACCTAGAGCCCTATGCGTTTGTCAGAGGGAAGAGGAGGGACTAGGTGTCTTGAAACATAGCATTAGTTTTCCACTTACTGGGATGTAAAGGTATGAATGGCCCAGCTGCACCATCCTGTAACAGTGCCCCCCAGACGGCCCCCCACCACACAGGAGCGCGCATGGACTTCGGAGGGAGAGGGAGGGAGGGAGGGAGGCCCTTCCACTTTTGGGCACTAGGTGGTGCCATGGGACATGAGCGCGTTCGCTGGTGGTTTGCAAACAGCTCCAGAGCAGTCAGTCCTGCAGAGACCCAGCAACATGGCACTGCTCACGGGCTGTGTCAGAAGAC